CTGGATTCGAACCTGCCACTTTAGGTCTATGTGGCTGGCGCCTTAGTCACCTGAGCCGCAGGCGCCCAGCCAGGAGTAACCTTCATCAGATTCTCAGAACCTAATCCAAAAAAGGTTGAGAACTTCTGCTTTAAATGATTTAACCATTAGCATAAATCTGATGTATCAATTACTTATATGTTTAAATAATACTGAAAGGCTTTTTTTTTTTGAGACAAAGTCTCAAGCTGCCACCCTGGGTGACACCTGGGCTGTGCTGAAACAGCTCACAGCAACTTCAAACTCTTGGGCGTACAGAATTCTCTTGCCTCAGCCTCCCAAGTAGCTGGGAGTACAGGTGCCCACCACAATGCCTGGCTATTTTTGTTGTTGTTGCCATTGTTTTAGCTGGCCTGGGCTGGGTTCGAACTCACCAGCCTCGGTATATATGGCCAAGGCCAGTGCCCTACCCACTGAGCTACAGGTGCTGCCTTGAAAGGCTTTTTTGTTCAGTGAGAACCACCAACCTGTAGTAAGAATAGATATGTCCACGATGCCAGTTCGGGGATCTGTTGCAGACTGCTTCAGAGCTTCCCGGTGGAGGCGTTTGGCCTCTTCCACATCAATCGCTTCCACTTTGTTTGAGAATCGTACTTTAGCATGGGCTTCTGCTAAGCGAATTAACGATTCTAGCTGTCGAGGGTATGCAGAAACCATTCCTCGGCTACTGCCAATCTTCCTCATGTCTACATAAGCCTAGTATAGGTAGAAAAACAAAGGCAAAACCCATTGTCAATAGCTTTAGTTTCATCGTTGAAGTTTAAAGTTAGGGTTCCATTAAATAAACTGTACTCCTGCCTGGCCAACCCTTGAGACTGGAAAAGTTAGATGTGGTCCCTAGCTTTGGCACTCATCAACTATTCACACAGACAAAACATGGGAATCCTGAGAGAGGATTTCAGCATCCAGTGTATAATCATGGTTGGAAATGTTCTGACCAAGGGTCTTTGGAGAAGGTGGTATCTGATGTAGCTTTGAAGAATAGACAGGTACAAGCGTGGCAGAGGAACAGAATGTGGCATGTGGGGAAAGGAGCAGGCTGTAATTAGTGCAGAGGGCAACAATTCTGGTCTATACCCAGGCCAGGAACCTATTTGATGAGGCACATAAAGGATCACTCAATGAACTCATTAAGCTATGTTCCAGGTATAGGCCTGGCTACCTCAATGAGAGCCTGGCTGGCTTCCTCGCTCAGCCGAGGCATGATGGTGCTATGCGCGTAGGCGATGTAGTCCTTCAGCACCGCCATGTCCAGGAGCTCCTCCTCCACCTGCTCCTCACTCTGGTAGTACAGTGCCACCAGGTGGTGAGCCAGACGCCTGTCATAGGCCTCATCCTGAGGGTCCAGCATGAGGAAGATCAAATCAAACCTGAGGAAAATAAAGCAAAACAGTTTTCCCAGTTGGGATACCAAAACACTCACAAACACTACTCAAGGACTGCAGACTCGTGGGCCTTTGGAAGTCCGTCAGGGAGAATAGGTATCTTCTGCCCATGTCATTGAAAAGGCTTTTGGGTCAGTCCACCAGCTCTGTTCTCTCCCAGCCCTTTGGGCTGCTCAGAAACAGATGGAAACCAAACAGCTGAGTCAAACAAGTGAGATTTCCCTAGGGGAAATGTTACCACAATTTTGAAGACTGCAAGATTTGTATGAAACACATTCAACTGGTTTTT